CTTCTTTGACCCTTTAACCTTTTGTACATTATTTATAATTGCAAAAAATAGGAAGTGTATATATTAAAAATAAATTTCTCTAGGTATTCTTGTTCTCAGCTCAGTTTTCCCAGCTCAGCTTTCCTGATTATCTCATAGGCAGTGAAAACACAGGAGTCAAATATACCCGCAACAGTAAATGTTCCTCCTACAATGGCACATACCTACAAATAGTAACAAAAACATACCTATAAATAGTAACAAATACATACCTATAAATAGTAACAAAAACATACCTATAAATAGTAACAAATACATATCTATAAATAGTAAAAAGACATAATAAAGTAACATAAATAAACATTTCAAGTGGCAGGCATCTGCAAGACTTAGTACAGTATAGACCTTTTAATAGTTACATTATAAAATTCAATATGGTGGTTTAATTCTATATATAGTAACATCATTTAAATTCTATAAATAGCAACATAATTTAAATTCTATAAATAGTAACATATTAAAATTTCACACAACAGTAAACATCAATAAATATAAACATGAGAACAAAAAACAGTGGGACATATCTTATTATCTAGCTAAAAAGAGCATTCTAGTATGTTTCAAGTTATTCACCTAATAAACTCAAAGGGCAGTCGCATGGATTATAAGGCACTATATGGATGGCATAAAAAGAAATGCTTAAATGTCATATGACATCATATCTGACTTCAATAAACCAAATGACATCAGGAAATTTACTTCTCCATTCAATTTAATTCAACATTTCTTTTATAAATTTTCATTTTTTATATTAGCATGACTTGTTAGAATAGAATGGAATGGCCGCGTGGATTCAAACCCCATCAGGGGCAAGACTTTGTTTCCTTGAGCAAAAACTTGACATCAGTTGCTTTGTAATGGTTGTTTCCAGGAACAAATTTGAGAGTGTTTCAATAAGCTTATAGCTTTCAACACAATCAAACTAAAACTTATTCGTATAAACACAATGTACAGTTAATCATTCAAATGCTTAGTAATTAATCAATCAAGCCTACCAGACTTTGTGATTATCTTCCTGCAAATATGAACTCAAACAGAGCATAATTCTACAACATTATAATTAAATATAATTCAGCTTTCCACCTACAGATCTTTTTTTTTCTTTCTAACATTAAATTTCAGTTGTGTTTAAGTTGCATCAACATAAGATAAGTCATATGGAAGGTTTCCATCTTTACTGGTGGAGGAAAACCTTAGGTGCCCCTAAATGAATACTTACAATCATAAACATGGACACAAGTAGAACCATCAACATTCTGTAAGATAGCTGGATAGCTTCCTCACATGAAAGAATCCAAAGTCCCTGTCAGGTTTCAAACACACAGCAATGAGAAGCAAATGGTTTAAAGTCAACAACCTTAACCATTTGGCCAAGGATGTTCCCATATACAGAAAAATACTCAAAATGATATAACTTTATCATGCACAAAGATTTTGAGTTTAGAAATATAACATCATGTTTTCAGATGGCCAAACTAGTACTTGGCACATTTTTTAAACATGGGGATATATGTAACATATGAAACAAAACCTTTTTAACTTTACTCAGTTTTTTATAATAATGCTTGGGTCTTGGAAATTTTTAAATAAAAGTTAACATTTAAATACAGTGTGCACACAAATATTAACAAGGTATCTATTAATCATGGCAAAACTTATCACAAAATTATGAATTATTGTAGAAAAGGATGCATCAAGTATCTTACTGACCCTTACTGACATCCTATGATTATCTCTGTAATGTTCTTTTCCCACAAACAATTGAGATTTTAATGTGTGGTTGTCGACTCAATATTTTGGAATATTATTAATTGGAAAATATTTTCTAATCATTAAAAACCATGTTTTATTTTTTTGCTTTGCAAATGAATTTTTCTAGTTGAAATAAACCTATCTTTTATTATGTTATGTTACTTCTTTTCAGCATTTATAAAGAAGGATTGTCGCTGGTGCAACTCAATATAATCTCATATAACAAGGGAGGCTGCTAAATAAAAATTCTGATACTAAAAGTAATAAGCCTATGTCACCAGTATACAGCCAGACCAGCCTGCGCATGTGGAAACCTGCATATTTGTGCAGTCTGACCAGGCTCTATACTGTTTGGTGACCAACTTCAAATTTTCATATTGATATCCCCACAATTGATAACAGACAGTACCTAAAATGGAAGCTGGATAAGTTCATTTTAGAAATTCAGCTGTTTTAGAGTTCAGCTGGTCAGATGTATAGTTTGCTATTATAAAATAATTCAAATTTTTCAGTGAAACTAAAGCCTAAAGAGCTGGGTAGCACATCAATAACAATGACCTGCTTTCAATTTGATATATTGTGCATTATAGATCTAACTATATTAAGACAAGAGGGCCATGATGGCCCTGAAGTCGCTCACCTGTATATAGGCCCCCAGAGCGGGGCCAGTTTAAACCCCAGGGCTATTGTTTGAACAAACTTGGTAGACACCCATTAGAAGATGTTTCATGCTAAACATCTAAAGTCTAGCTGGTCAAGTTTTTTCTTTACACATATAGTTAAAAACAATGACACACCTGGGGCAGAGCCAATTTTGACCCAAGGGCTTTTATTTGAACAATCTTTGTAGACACTTACTAGAATATAGCCCCCCCCCTGGCAGGGCCAATTTTAACCCAAGGGCTTTTATTTGAACAAACTTGGTAGACACCCATAAGAAGATGTTTCATGCTAAACATCTTAGCTCTAGCTCATTGGGTTTCTTAAAAGCAGATTTTTTAAGTTTTTACTATACACATATAGTTAATAATGACACCCCTGGGGCGGGGCCAGTTTTGACCCCAGGGCTTTTATTTGAACAAACTTTGTAAACACTTACTAGAAGATGTTTCATGCTTAATATCTAAACTCTAGCTATTTGGGTTTTTTCAAAGAAGATTTTTAAGTTTTTGCTATACACATATATAAGGAAAATCAATGACCCCCAGGGCGGGGCCAATTTTGACCCCAGGGCTTTTATTTGAACAAACTTGGTAGACACTCATTAGAAGATGTTTCATACTAAATATCTTAGCTCTAGCTCTTTGAGTTCTTTAAAAAAAGGTTTTTTAAGTTTTTACTATATGCATATAGGGAAAATCAATGACCCCCTGGGGCGGGGCCAATTTTGACCCCAGGGCTTTTATTTGAACAAACTTGATAGTCACTCATTAGAAGATGTTTCATGCTAAATATCTAAGCTCTAGCTCTTTGGGTTCTTTAAAAGAAGATTTTTTAAGTTTTTACTATATGCATAAAGGGAAAATCAATGAACCCCTGGGGCGGGGCCAATTTTGACCCAAGGGCTTTTATTTGAACAAACTTGATAAGACACTCATTAAAAGATGTTTCATGCTAAATATCTTAGCTCTAGCTCTTTGGGTTCTTTAAAAGAAGATTTTTTAAGTTTCTACTATATGCATATAGGGAAAATCAATGACCCCCTGGGGCGGGGCCAATTTTGACCCCAGGGCTTTTATTTGAACAAACTTGGTAGACACTCATTAGAAGATGTTTCACGCTAAATATCTTAGCTCAAGCTCTTTGGGTTCTTTAAAAGAAGATATTTTAAGTTTTTACTATATGCATATAGGGATAATCAATGACCCCCTGGGGCTGGGCCAATTTTGACCCCAGGGCTTTTATTTGAACAAACTTGGTAGACACTTACTAGAAGATGTTTCATGCCAAATATCTAAGCTCTAGCTCTTACGGTTTTTTAAAAGAAGATATTTTAAGTTTTTACTATATGCATATAGGGAAAATTAATGACCCCCTGGGGCGGGGCCAATTTTGACACCAGGGCTTTTATTTGAACAAACTTGGTAGACACTCACTAGAAGATGTTTCATGCCAAATATCTAAGCTCTAGCTCTTACGGTTTTTTTAAAGAAGATATTTAAAGTTTTTTCTTTCGGTTGCCATGGCAACCAGAGTTCTGCATGGAATTAAATTCTTTGAACAATTTTTAAAGGTGACCACCAAAGGAACATTCCTGTGAAGTTTGGATGAAATTGGCTTAGTGGTTTATGAGGAGATGTCATTTAAAGTAAAAGTTTACGGACGGACGCCGGACAGACGCCGGACGAAAAGCGATCACAAAAGCTCACCCTGTCACTTTGTGACAGGTGAGCTAAAAAATCACAGCACTAAATTTTGTTAGAATAACTTCAGAAATGAATTAGATAAACAAAGTACAGTACTTATTGTTACTTTAGAAAGACAAACTCTGTGAAGTTTCTTATTTGATATACAATTAAAACTAATTACTTTATCTTTATACTTTTCAACTGTTTGAATGCTAAAGCAATCTTTGCCTAAATAATACTTAAATTAGACCTTCTGCTGTAAAGTCAGGACATTTTATTATTGATAGTGACTCTGAAATTCTTTAATTTTGCTAATGCTGTAATTCATGAGATGTTACTGAAAAAACAAATTCAATGGTTAAAATGGTTAACCTTTTCTTATTCTGTTGCGCGAAGTGTTTTGTTCTGTAAACGAGTTTTGTGTGAATAAATTTAATGTATGTAACTATCCTGTATAGATGAATTGTATTTGGTTCATATTTAATCATGTGCTGAAAAAAAACACCTGAATCTCAGTGATATGAATGGCAATGACTTACACATGTCATGAGTTTAGGGCCAAGAAAAGATGTATATTATAGTCTTTACTGTTAACTGCTAATTGATATTTCTATTATATTGAAACCATTAAACAATCACATTGGAAAGCTACAATTTCATAGCATTGTAAATCCATTATACAAATTAAGTGATGAAAAGGAAAGATTTAATCAATTAACATACAAATATTGTAAGATGATGAAGTGAATGAAGATCAAAGTCTATATGGTCTTGGCTAATGTGATATGCCCTTCATCAAAAGGCCAAGGCAAGTCAGGACCACAGGCTTGGATAATTAACCAGATTTACAATAACTCTTTAATTATATGACTAAATTAAAAAATTTCATTTGTTAAAATTTCAAAGGTGTGTAAATGTTCATATGAATGAGAAATAAAATGCCTTTTTTCCTTCAAAGTTTTTTTGACAGAAAAGATGGCGTCTGAGTTTGTGCTTTACATATGGTGTTTAATCACATACCGGTGCCACTTTGCGGCTCCATAAAAATGGTATTGCACAGCTGTGCAAATATTTTGACATGACGTCATTTGTATTATACAAACGTATGTGTAAAGACGTGCTCAATGTTAGCATTACACTAAATGTAGAGGTGTGTCAATAAAAAAAAGATTTTTTTTTCACTTTGTTTTCGGTATGTGATTAACAGAATATTATATTTGTGTAAGTTCATTACTAAAGTTATTGAACTTGTTAGATAAAATAATATTATGCTCTCAAGAGCCTCACATAATATAACTTTATTAAACTTGTTCAATAAATTCAGTATTAAACTTACACACATTCAATATGCTCTATGTATTAAATAACTTAGTTTTTCATTTGAGGGCTATAAGTACCATATATCCTGTACAGCCTTAAAACCTTTTGGTTTCTATTAATAGATGGTTAAATTTAGCCCCACTCTTTATTACACGGTTTTGTAGTCCATGTCATTTTCTTTTCACCATCAAACGCAACACTGGAAAATTTTAAGTCATATTATTATACAATGTACATGATACTTAATAGTGCTGTATATTTCAGGTGTGGTATATGGGTGTATAGGTATGAAATGTGAAAAGTAAAGTTTATTCAGGATAATGCAAGTGTAATAAAAATATGATTTTTATGTAATAGAACTTTTCTAGCTCACTTTAACAGATCTAATATTTTCAGAAAATATAGAGCTATTCTGATGGATTGTATCTCAAAAGTTTACTATGTATGCAAAGTTGGGGCCACAGAGCAAGTATAAATATTATATGCAATCAACAAAAGTGATGCTTTATCCATTAGAAGGGCCCACATTCATAATTTTCTCTCATCATATTAATTCTGTAAATTGTGTTAAGAAAATGTAAACAAAGCCTTTGAATTTATTTTTCCTTTAAAGAAAATTATATGAATGTAATGTAAAAATTAACCACAATACAATCATAAGGTGTAAAATATGGAAAATCCCAGTTGTGAAAATGACTGCTTACAAATGGGAGTTTATATAGCTTATAAAGTTCAACAACGGTTGCATGTATGCGTAAGAATGTGAAAGATGACATAATAAGGTATATGTTTATACAGGTATTAGAACATGTGTGTAATAGATAATGTGTATCATAATTGTATAGTCTTTACTCAACTATATACGTTGAAAGATACCCAGTATACCTTGAGAAAAAAATGAGTATCTCAGTTGCTAAGCAACCAAACAAATTCCTGGCCCAAAACCAGAGCTTTAGCTAAAAGAAGGGATGAAAATTTGTCACTAAAGTTACTGTAAAAATCAAAGATGGGATAAAGTTAAAACAAAATAAAATGTCAAAAATAAAAACCCAGCTTTGAAAAAGGAATGTGACAAAATAATAAGAGCAAGTTTTGTGTTGTCTAAATGCAAACTGATGATAAACTACTAACAAAGATGAGAACAGCATGAAAACTGAGTTAAGCTTTAGAAAAAGCAAAGTCTATGTTACATATACAACCAGTTAAAAAAAACACCTTGCGCCAATTACTCACGGTTGTCAAGAAGTGATAAAATGGCTTTTGAGATTCCGTATATCGTACGGTGATTGGGCTCATTTCATACTTGAACCAGACTGCAGGCATTCGGTTTGGTATCATCTTTTCCTGTGATTATTTTATTTGACAAAGGGAAAATGAGAAAAAAAACATATTTTAAATAATAATTAAGACCTTGTCACTGATCAGAAAGTAATAGTAATGAGTGATTTAAGAATCAATTAAGCAGGGGAGAGCACTCTGTACCACATTTTTCATGTATATTACCCAATAATATACATGTATATTGTAAAATTCAAACACATAATCTACATCTGCTTGTAAAGATTCCAGAAATCACTCATTACTTTCCATCTGAATCACAAAGTCTTTAATAAACTGTCAATTCTTATAAAGGCACCATACTTTTTTTTTTGCCTTCAATTTATGTTCTTGTTCAACAGTTTCTCTTTTTTTTCCCTAAAATTTTGCCCCCCAAAAAAATGATTATCAAGGGCTATAAATTGTCAAAAAGTATGCTATCTTTACAAAATTTACAGTTTAATGCATGATATAATAAATAAGCTGGAGTTTGAAATTCTAAAGACTTTTCATAATTTTTCATTAAATTTATCAAAATTTTTATTTATTAAAGCATTCTCAGAATAAAAATTTAAAAGAGTGTAACACTGTTTCTAAATTTCAAACTCACAGCTTTAAAGCACATTTGCCCTATTTGACCCGTGTGCATGTTGATTTTCACGGGACAGCTCCACTTACCGTAGTGAGAAAATGATAAAAAGGTTGCCTTCTTTCTGTATACTGTACTGTAATAGGACTCATTTCATATCTGAACCAGATAGCTGGCATCATATATGGCCTCCATGACCATACTGAATTATTTCCTAATCACAATATAAAAACATTCTGATGAAACTACTTTATTATAAAATGTCATCCATAACCAGGTTGGAGTCATACTTATAAAGAAAGACCATCATTTAAAAACAAAGGCCATCATTCAAAAAACATAGACCATCATTTATAAACAAAGATATATAAAAATCTACACCTTTCATTTTTGGTGGATTTCTTTTAAATTTTTTAAAATTCTGATTACAGTATCTACTAAACATGTTTTCACACATTAATGTAAAGACCTCTATAACAACAACTGCAATCACTATATTGTTCTCCTACTAACAGTTTTGACAAGCTAGAGTCGGATCCATTAAATCACCACAACTATTACATTTTACAAAATTATAATATTGTATGTGATGTAACTTATTATCAATTGAACTTGATCCCTGATTGAAAACTTCAAAATTAAGGTGGTTTATAGAAAGAAGAAATAATTTTTTTTTATTTAAGTTATACATTTACATGTATCTCATCATACATCAACTAGTAATAGACATAAAACATTCATACAGCACTATAAGCCTGTATCTCAAACTTTTTGACAAGTCTTTAAAAGAATCTGTCTCTTCTGAAAAAAACATACTGTGTATTAAGAAAAAATATTCCTGTAACAGTAAATACTTTGAGTGGCTTTCTTTAAATGCGCTGTAGCAGAGATCATAAATTCCACTCTTCCGCTCGTAATTATGAATAGAATTTAAGAGAACTCGATGCATGACGAGTAGAAAAATGTTGCCTGCACAATGGATCTAAAAGCTACTCGTCCAGGATGAGTGACTCTGAAAATATTTTTGATGCCTGCTGTAGACTGAGAAATAATAAAGATATTTACCCTATATGAGTATGTATATTGATATGGGAATCGTTTTGAATTATCTTTGTTGACATAAACAGATGGCACTACTCTGATGATGTAATCATGTGTGGCTTGAGCTGAAACATGATAATGTAAGATTAGTTTTAATATTTACCAATCATATAACAGTACATGTTTAACAAGAGCTGTCACAGGAGACAGCGAAGCTCGACTAATAAAATACTGGACGCAGTAAGGAGGACAAAACTATGAAAGAAAAATCAATTATGTATCATAATGTATTAAGTTATAGTAAAAAAATAAATTCCAAGATCAAGGGGAATAATTCTAGAAATAGTCATGCTAGAGTTATGGACCTTGTCACACAACATTTGTGTAATGATAAGAAATATATGTTTGAAGTTTGAAGTAGATACTTTAAAAAGTAAAGAAGTTATTATATTTCTTAAAGAAAATCCTAAGTTCAAAGAGAGATAAATCTGTAAATATTGCTTCAAGAGTTATGAACATTGTCACATAAAATGTAATTGATGATAAGGAATAAGTATTTGAAGTTTGAGGTAGATACCTTTAAAAATAAAAAAGTTATAATAAAAAATAACATTTTTCTAGTAAAAAAATCTAAGTTTATGGGGAGATAATTCTTGCAATATTGGTGCTAGAGTTATGACCCTTGTCACATAAGATGTGGATGATGATAACGTAAATATATTTGAAGTATGAAGTTGATCCCTTTAGAAATAAATAAGTAACAGTAAAGAATAATATTTTTTATGGAAAATTCTAAGTTCAAAGGGAGATAAATCTGAAAATATTGGTGCTAGAGTTATGAACCTTGTCACATAAGATGGGGATGATAATAACGTAAATATATTTGAAGTATGAGGTTGATCCCTTAAGAAATAAAGAAGTAACAGTAAGAAATAGCATTTTTTGAGGAAAATTCTAAGTTCAAGGGGAGATAAATCTGAAAATATTGGTGCTAGAGTTATGAACCTTGTCCCATAAGATGAGAATGTTGATAAGGTACATATATTTGAAGTATGAGGTTGATCCCTTAAGAAATAAATAAGTAACAGTAAAAAATAGTATTTTTTAAGGAAAATTCTAAGTTCAAGGGGAGATAAATCTGAAAATATTGGTGCTAGAGTTATGAACCTTGTCACATAAGATGTGGTTGATGATAAGGAACATATATTTGAAGTTTGAAGTTGATACCTTAAGAAATGACAAAGTTATAGTGAAAAATATTTTACTGCACCAAAACTTTAATCTAAAATCTGGACGCGGACGCCGACGCCGGGGCGAGTAGGACAGCTCTCCATATACTTCGTATAGTCGAGCTAAAGACATATAGATTTTAACGGGATTATACACAATGAAAACTTATGAATCTGATTCAAATAACTATAGTTTGTGTCCAAGCAGTAATCAATGCTGGTGTAGACTCCTGGCATACAGAATAGTCTTTTACTTCAAATATGGAAACAAAGATTATAAATGAAGGGCAGCATTCAATGAATGCATTCCCAAACAAAAGTCTGGACTGACAGCAAGGAGCTCAGCATGACAGCCTTGTTTTAAATAAAGTTAAAAAGCTAAGTGGCTTGATAAAATCTCTTTCTAGTTTCCTTCACTGTACTCAAGCATTGGTAAGGCAGAAACAAGAAATAACATTTTTTTCTTTGTATTTTAAGGAATATCATTAATTTAAGTGTTTTCTCACTTACCATTTCCATTTGTTTTATCTAAACTTTCCATGGGGTTAAAAGAACCTCTCACATTCTGTAAACATAAATCATTAAAAATTATTCACAGTAGTTAACCATGTAAGTTTTTTGTAATGGCTGAGTATTTAAAAAATAGATATATATTAAGCTTAAGCTCTGGAATTTGAATCTCACAATATTCCAGCTTTCTAATACAATTTATTATGTCATTTAAAACAAATCAAACTTCTACTCCTGAAAATATTTGCCAACTTGTGTTTTTTTTCATAAATCAAGAAAAGTCAATTCATTTCTTAAGATAAAATAACTTGGAAAGCTGCATTTCTTAATAACAATGAACTATTATTTGGATAACACACTTTTTGTGACAATTTTGATATTCAAGAGGTTCTTGAATAGTGGAAACTAGAAATGTGTCCATAGGACACGGGTGCCCCCACCGCGCCACTGTTCTGTCAATCTTTTTACTAAGTCAAGGGAAATAACTCTACAAATACTGGATAAATCCACAAGCAAAACCCCAGGTGCAAATCTAAAATATGCTGAGCAACCTGCCTATAAGGTTTAATGACTATGTCAAATCCTTTTTGAGAAACTTGCGACACAAGTTGAAAATTGCAAAAATTTTCTAAGTGAAGGGCAATAACTCTAAAAATACTAAATAAATCCAGACGAAAATACCTGGTGCACAACTACACATGCTAATCAATATTCCTGTAAAGTTACATGATTCTAGGTCAAATACTTTTTTAGTTACCTGCGACACATGTTGAAAATTGCAAAATTTTACTAACTCAAGGGCAATAACTCTGAAAATACTAAAAATATCCAGACGAAAATACCAAGGTGCACAACTACACATACTGATCAACATTCCTGTAAAGTTTCATGACTCTAGGTCAAATACTTTTTGAGTTACATGCGACACAAGTTGAAAATTGCAAAATTTTACTAAGTCAAGGGCAATAACTCTGAAAATACTTAAAATATCCAGATGAAAATACCCAGGTGCACAACTACACATGCTGATCAACATTCCTGTAAAGTTTCATGACTAGGTCAAATACTTTTTGAGTTACATGCGACACAAGTTGAAAATTGCAAAATTTTACTAAGTCAAGGGCAATAACTCTGAAAATACTTAAAATATCCAGACGAAAATACCCAGGTGCACAACTACACATGCTGATCAACATTCCTGTAAAGTTTCATGACTCTAGGTCAAATACTTTTTGAGTTACATGCGACACAAGTTGAAAATTGCAAAATTTAACTAAGTCAAGGGCAATAACTCTGAAAATGCTAAAAATATCCAGACGAAAATACCCAGGTGCACAACTACACATGCTGATCAACATTCCTGTAAAGTTTCATGACTCTAGGTCAAATACTTTTTGAGTTACGTGCGACACAAAAGTGAACGGACGGACGGACGGACGGACGGACAAGGGTAAATCTAAATGCCCGCCACTAACGTGGGGGCACAAACAAGGGTAAATCTAAATGCCCGCCACTAACGTGGGGGCACAAAAATTAAGTCACCACAAATTTAACTTATTTTACAGTAATCAAAAATTAAGAATTATTTTATAAACCTACTTTTCCTTCCTCTAAGTCCATACCGAACCTGAGTTTATGAACAACATGTCTCATGTCACCTTGAGCTGGCTGGTTCTTTGCTGCATGTGTTGAAACATGAAAATTACCTGGAACCTAAAGAAGAAAAATTACTTAAAAGTTTTTTCTCATATAAAGTTACTTGGAACATAAACAAGAACTGTCGGAGGACAGTAACGCTCGACTATTCGAAAATTTGTCACAAGGGTGTTTCATTGAGTATAATAATGCTTACCTATATGGATACATTAAATTGTACGAAAAGGTACAAACCCTTCAAGTTTCAATACAATCACAGAGAACAAGTCTGTGAAGTTTCAATCAATTCCCTTCAGTAGTTATGGAGATACAAGCTTACACACAAAAACTTAACCACGAATTTATGAATCGAAAAAGGGGAATAATTATGCGAATATCAGAGTTATGGCACTTGTGCCAATCATCTTAAATAATCACAGAGACCAAGCGTGTGAAGTTTCAATCCATTCCCTTCAGTAGTTATGGAGATACCAGCTTACACGTAAAAACTTAACCAAGAATTTCTAAGATAAAAAAGTGGCATAATTATGCAAAAAAGCAAATCAGAGTTATGGGACTTGTGCCAATCATCTTAGATAATCACAGAGACCAAGTGTGTGAAGTTCCAATCCATTCCCTTCAGTAGTTATGGAGATACCAGCTTACACGCAAAAACTTAACCAAGAATTTCTAAGTCGAACAAGGGGCATAATTATGTAAAAAAGCAAATCAGAGTTATGGGACTTGTGCCAATCATCTAAGATAATCACAGAGAACAAGTGTGTGAAGTTTCAATCCATTCCCTTCAGTAGTTATGGAGATACCAGCTTACATACAAAAACTTAACCAAGAATTTCTAAGTCGAAAAAGGGGCATTTTTAGGGTTGGACACCGGTTCCCGGTATCGGTCCTATACCGAATAGTAACTTCGTAAATTACCGGTATATACCGTTTCGTAAAATACCGGTACTGGATTTGATACTTTTGTAATTTTGTAAAAAAAATAATTTAATAGTCAATATGTCAAAAAATAAGAAGATTTTTAAATGAAAACAGCCTACAAACACGTAAAACAAACTATGAACTACTATTATCATGCGGCGAGTACGGCTTTCGCGGCAAAGTTGAAGTTTGTGACGCGGCGATATTTTTGTAAAAGTCTTGTGCCGCTTATGTTCAAGATAATAATATTTTTTACTCGGCAGGAAAAAATGATTATTTAAACTGATTTTAGTAAAAGTTTGTAAGTTTTAAATGTCAAAGAAACAACGAGAAAACAAATCAAATACTTGAGTAATCATCGGCACATCGCACACAGTCCTTCCAAACACATCGCACACAGCTTTTGCCGTAATGACAATTAAATCCAACATATGACAATTGTTTGTTCAAACAATGCTTTTAAAAATAATTAAATCCTGTTTTCAGTTTAAGTTTCCAAACACTCATAATGAATAAATATTTAATGATTCCAGGTTCTTTTCTTCCATTACCACATGTACAAATCTACACGTGAATTACGATTTGAACATAAATGTGGCCGAACTATTCCAACAAAATATGCCTCCTTTTGTTGTTTGTGTAACACTGAACTGTTATTAAACATGTATACATTTTTTTAACAAAAGAATGCTGACAGAACTTCAGTCAAAAAGTGTGAATGTCGGCCGCTCTTTGATGGTGATAGAGTAACAACATCAAAGGGAGGCATATTCTTTTGAATAGCCTATGATGCACCTGTCAAAGGTCAACTTGTGTGTATTACACATTTAGATCACTGAAACATATTTCATATAGTGTTTTGTAGGATTTTTTGCAAATGTTGGCTAGTATTTTTGCGTATTTGAGCAGAATGGAATTATGAAATTTGGTGAGGACAATACCCTTTTTTTCTGTAGCAAGATGTTCACTGTGCATGCTATTGAAAAATAAAAGATGTATAAAATTGAAAAGTAAATTCAATATTAATAAATACCAAATTCTTATTATTTGTAAAGCATAGGTATTTGCTTTATGACTTCTACAAGGACTAATATTAGGTTATTATGAAAATGTAAACAAGTCATTTTGGAAACAGTCTATGCATATACATGTTTTTCCAAATTTCTAAGTTAATTACTGGTGGAAAATATGTTTGTGCTGTTGTAGTAAAACAGACTGAAAACAAGTGACTTTGTAAAAACATCTAATGAAATTTCTTTCATGTAATTCCAAATTGCAAAGTAAGCCAACCAATCCAGTGATTTCATTTATTACAGTAAACAATAATGTGATTTAAAAAAGAATATCAGCATCAGAATAAAATTTCTACACAGTAATAATAATAGCTGTAAGAAAATAATAGATAACCAACTATCTTAAATTCTTTCAGATGTAGAGATATCAAGATTAAAACAATAATTTGTAGACTTCTCAGCTGCAGACCGCTGTCCTGCATAAGATATTTTTCTGTGTTTAAATTATGTCATGTTCTTTTGATGAAAAAGTAAAAGTATTTTACAATTAACATGTGTAAATGTTGTAAAAAAGAGTAAACACAAAACAACAAAACATGGAACTTGAGAAAAGTATACTTTACAGCATGAAATTTCAGAAAGACCAGTAATGTAACATATTTATTTTCTAGCACTATATGTTGTATCTCTTCAGTTCTTATACTTGCAGCAAAGGGTTTGATGTGGTATTGTAAAAGTATCAGTATCAGTATCGATAAAATACCCGTATCGTTTCGTCAGTACCGGTATCGGTATCGGACCGTTTCGTGAAGAACGATATCCAACCCTAGGCATTTTTATGTAAAAAAGCAAATCAGAGTTATGGGACTTGAGCAAATCATCTAAGATAATCACAGAGAACAAGTGTGTGAAGTTTCAATCCATTCCCTTCAGTAGTTATCGAGATACCAGCTTACATACAAAAACTTAACCACAAATTTCTAAGTCGAAAAAGGGGCATAATTATGTAAAAAAGCAAATCAGAGTTATGGGACTTGTGCCAATCATCTTAGATAATCACAGAGAACAAGTGTGTGAAGTTTCAATCCATTCCCTTCAGTAGTTATGGAGATACCAGCTTACATACAAAAACTTAACCAAGAATTTCTAAGTCGAAAAAGGGGCATAATTATGTAAAAAAGCAAATAAGAGTTATGGGACTTGTGCCAATCATCTTAGATAATCACAGAGAACAAGTGTGTGGAGTTTCAATCCATTCCCTTCAGTAGTTATGGAGATACCAGCTTACATACAAAAACTTAACCAAGAATTTCTAAGTCGAAAAAGGGCCATAATTATGTAAAAAAGCAAATCAGAGTTATGGGACTTGTGCCAATCATCTTAGATAATCACAGAGAACAAGTGTGTGAAGTTTCAATCCATTCCCTTCAGTAGTTATGGAGATACCAGCTTACATACAAAAACTTAACCACAGGGACGCCGACGCCGACAAATGGGTGACTGCATTAGCTCGATTATTCTACGAATAGTCGAGCTAAAAAACAAAATTACAGACATACAAATACCGGAACATTTAAACTAAAATAAAACAAGAGGGCCATGATGGCCCTGAGGTCGCTCACCTGTATATAGGCCCCCCCCAACCCCCACCCACCCACCCCCCCCCCCCAACGTTGCAGGGCCAATTTTACCCAAGGGCTTTTATTTGAACAAACTTGGTAGACACCCATAAGAAGATGTTTCATGCTAAACATCTAAGCTCTAGCTCATTGGGCTTTTTAAAAGAAGATTTTTTTTAAGTTTTTACTATACACATATAGTTAAAAACAATGACATCCCTAGGGCCAGGCCAGTTTTGACCCCAGGGCTTTTATTTGAACAAACTTTGTAGACACTTACTAGAAGATGTTTCTTGCTTAATATCTAAACTCTAGCTATTTGGGTTTTTTCAAAGAAGATTTTAAGTTTTTGCTATACACATATAAAGAAAATCAATGACCCCCGGGGCGGGGCCAATTTTGACCCCAGGTCTTTTATTTGAACAAACTTTGTAGACACTAACTAAAAGATGTTTCATGCTTAATATCTTAACTATATCTATTTGGGTTTTTTCAAAGAAGATTTTTTAAGTTTTTGCTATACACATATAAGGAAAATCAATGACCCCCGGGCGGTGCCAATTTTGACCCCAGGGCTTTTATTTGAACAAACTTGGTAGACACCTATTAGAACATGTTTGATGCTAAATATTTTAGCCATTGCTCTTTGAGGTCTTTAAAAGAAGATTTTTTAAGTTTTTACTATATGCATATAGGGAAAATCAATGACCCCCCGGGGCGGGGCCAATTTTGACCAAAAGGCTTTTATTTGAACAAACTTGGTAGACACTTATTAGAACATGTTTGATGCTAAATATCTTAGCTCTAGCTCTTTGGGTTCTATAAAAGAAGATTTTTTAAGTTTTTACTATATGCATATAGGGAAAATCAATGACCCCCCGGGGCAGGGCCAATTTTGACCCAAGGGCTTTTATTTGAACAAACTTGGTAGACACTTATTAGAACATGTTTCATGCTAAATATCTTAGCTCTAACTCTTTTGGTTCTTTAAAAGAAGATATTTAAAGTTTTTTCTTTCGGTTGCCATGGCAACCAGAGTTCTGCATGGAATTAAATTCTTTGAACAATTTTTAAAGGTAAAAATAATTATACAATGCTTTTTTAACAAAGTTTTCCAAGTCTCGTTATACAGTAAAACCTGGGAAAAAAGTCATCAAAGGGAGAAACTAAACATGAGATAATTTAGCAAAAATACTACTCAGTAGTATCTGGCTTTAGAAATGCATTCCAAATTTTGTAGTAAACAAATATTTCAAGTTTAAATCAAATATCTTTGATAGTTTTTGACCTTAATGTTTTATCTTAAAATCAGTGCGACAGGCAGAACTTACCAAGATGTATTAACATATGAAGTTTCAATGTTATAATTTTATTAGTATTGCAGTTCATGACTTTAACGAAAGCCATAAAGATAAACCAACGCCAATGCCTTCAAGTGGGTTATGACTTTTTTCTTCAAATTCTTTGTCAGAATTATACACAAATTTACATATCATCTGCTTTCTTATTAATGTTATATGTAGGGCTGTCATTGAAAATCGCAATATCAATATATCATTGATATTCAACAATCTCTGGAATATCAATTTACAATAGTGATACAATTCAAAACCTGTTTCTTCATGTCTAGTGATAATATCACTCTACTTTGTGTAAAGGGAAAAAGTCACTTTTTTTCAACACTGGATTTAATTTTCAGAGCTCTCTATGATATAATAACAGGTAAACATACTTTCCATTGGTGTTCTGTGTTTGTGATGTATAAATCATACTTGCATATACCGTGATAACAGTTTAATGTACAAGCTATTGAATTTGATATATCAATATATCGTTGATATTCAGCTTTTGATATATGAATACTATTACAAAATTTTTCATCAATGACAGCCCAAGTTATATGAGCCATGTCACGACAAAACCAACATAGTGCGTTTGCGACCAGCATGGATCCAGGCCAGCCTGCGCATCCGCGCAGTCTGATCAGGATCCATGCTGTTTGCTATCGGTTTCTCTACTTGTTATAGAGTTCGTAAGCGAACAGCATGAGCCCTGATCAGACTGCGCGGATGCGCATGCTGGTCTGGATCCATGCTGCTCGCAAATGCACCATGTTGGTTTTGTCGTGACGAGGCTCATATGTGTTTTCCCACAAACCTTGTTTATTAAGAAATGTGTTTCCATTCTACAGCCATTATCTTCATTCTGTGGGATTTTTTCTGTGTTGTCCTGGAAACCAACTTCATGTCTTCCCATATCATCCTGAATGTCCAATCCTACAACTAGATAATTAAAGAAAATTTATAATGAATATTCATCAATTTTACTTAAAATTTTCTGTACAGTTTAAGAATATGAAAATTATGATATATGTGTTCTCAGACGTATTTTTTCTCTCTAAATTTAACTTGTAAGCATTATTTAAAAAAGTCTATCAGTTTGTTTTACTCCTTTGAAATTGTGTTCAAACTGTACAATTTACTTCCCCACCCTGCCCTCATGCTACATTGGTACACAGACAGACTTTTATGGTCACTAACAAGGACGTACGTATTAAAGAGTACTTTTGATAAAATATCAGTAACTTCTAGTGATGCAGTTATGATTAATTTAACATCTAATAAGGAACTCATGTGAGGGATTCTTTTTTCTCATGCATTTTTAAAACAATCACTCTTTCAATTAAAGTATTATCAATATGGTAGAATTGTTACTAACACAAATAGTAACTTGTATTGTGCACATTAAAAGAGCCTAACATAACTAATACCTTCAACCTGCTGGCTTTATGTAATGGATTTTCATTCAAAGTTTAAAGGCCCATTATGCCCAAAAATGCTTTTTATTCTTATTTTGAAAAAGCTTTTTATTTTTAGTGTTTTATAATAGTTTGCAAAAAGATACTTTTTGGATGAATACCTGAACCTTCTTTTGCTTACATTGCTTGTTGGCTAAAAGTACATAATAATTTATAGAGATTTTGAATTTTGTGTAGAAGTCAAAACACTTCTTTGTCTACATTTTGCCACTTTTTTTAACAAATAACTTCACATTCAGTGCTTCTTTCTACAAGTAATAAGCATCTTACTCATTTTTGCAATTCTAAACAGTGAAAATATATTTGTTTCTGAGGCTTTTTGTGTCTTTAAGGGATTTTAATAACTGATGTATCAACAGTTAGAGTATGGTAAGACGGCAGGTGGATGTGCAAGCTGGTCTGGATCTATACTGGTGGCAAAGGTTTAGTCATTACTTTAGTTCCAGCAGATTAAACTCTTGTGATAAATACAAATAATGGTATCATCTGTATATTGTAACTTAATTGTAATGTAAGAGTAATCTCCTTATGAACAGCTGTTTCACAAATGACCTAGATAAGATGTATGTACAACAAAGTCACAGGGCCAATGTAGACAGATTATTGTAGGCTAAACTTTGACATGCCTGAAAACTTTACAAGGTCTATTAATTTTGGGTAATTAAAATACATTGCTAGTTTCTACAGAAGCGTCCTTGTGCCAATTTAACATGTTCTATAAAAAACTCCTATGAAGGAGATAGAAAAGCCTAATTAGGAGTTTATAACTCCTACATAGGACTTTTTAACTCCTACATAGGACTTTTAAACTCCTACGTAGGACTTTTAAACTCCTATGTAGGACTTTTTAACTCCTACGTAGGACTTTTTAACTCCTACATAGGACTTTGTAAGTCCTACATAGGACTTTGTAACTACTACGTAGGAGATAAAAAACGTAGGAATTACCTTTTTTTTAAAAGAACATCAGAAGGCTTCCGTAAGTTTCCTGTTATCTAATTAATTGTTTTTTCAAGTTTAGATTACAGTCAAAAATAATTTCACAGAGATTATGTTATGACTGACAAGTATGGATCTATCATTTGTTATACGTCCACTTAAATTGACAAAATAAATTCATTTTTTCCATTCCCTGAGGTGTGTAATACTTACATTCACATTTTGTGTTCATCAAAGTTATGTTTAAGAATACAGGAATTTTCTCAGAGTATTTCACTGGGTCGTCAACTATCAGCTCACTTACTCTGAAATAAAACAAACAAAGTTAGTGTAGGATTGCCTACATCATTACATATAATATATTTAAAACCTTACTATTATCAAGATCATCAGAAAAAAACTAAACTAAGCTTTACCTAAAACCATTACCGGTAAACGTATTAACTAAAAAGCATGTTAAGTGATGGTTTTTGAACTAGTGGTTTTAAAGCTTCCCAACAACACTAATAAATCTGTTTATTTTGGTTTAAAAACACAATACCTTGTAATGTAACTTTTCAAACATCAGGCAATTTGTTTTTAATAAAAAATGAAGTTTCATAGATAAAATGAGAAGTAAGTAATTCATAGAAAGTATTTTACACACTGGACAACATTGTATATCACCTGAATGAAACTGTCTACTATTATGCACATGTGTATCTTATAATATCCATTGTTGGATCTGTATGGCATTTTGGTGAGCCTCATTCATTTATTCTTCTATACCTTTAACTCATATAGACAATTATGCCAGATTCTATTAAAAACCAATCCGGTTTTAACAACGGTCATAGGCCCAGTCTAACAAATATCTGTCCCATTCTATTAAAATGATTGCAGCAAAGACGTCGCAGATAAACTGACAAAATCACAGACAGATCGACACATGGATAATGCAATTTCAAAAACCTACTTTTTGAAATTTTTTTAGCAGTGGCAGATAATAACTTACACTTCATGTTGAAGAAATCCAGCAAGCTCTGACAGGAATAGGTAGAGCATAAACAGTACACTGCATATAGATATACATGCTCCAGTCAATGTAGGCTGTGTTAAATCTTTAGGTACCTTACGGTATATGTCAAACCTGAAATACATAAAAGCTGAGGTTAACAAGAGCTGTAAGTATGACAGAACGCTCTCTTTTTTCTCAGTGCTAGATTGTAAAACAAAAGTCTGGATAATGTGAAATTTTCTGAGTTGAAAATGGGGCTATAATTCTGTCAAATCAAGGTAAGACTGTAAAGGGCCTTAGATCATGGTCATCTATCATGCCCTCAAATTCCGTAATGTCCCCATGAAAGTATTTTGAAGTAGAATATAAAAGCAGTGTATTCTTCTGACATGTTTTAACATGATAAAGGCGGCATTAAACAAGTTTGCAGTAAGTCACACAATAAAGACTATCTTAACAGGATATAAAAATGCGTATATAACATCAACATCATCTGTTGCTGAAGCACTTGCAAAATAACAGTTAGGCCACATTGCAAGGCCTGACAAAATATTTGATGCTGACTTCTTTAAATCTACTCAGAACTTTAGATGAAACACTTCAAATGGCATAGTATTTTAGGTAAACAGGGTGTCCGTTTGATCCTTGAAATGACTCTCTGACCCTTCAAATTTCCTTAAGGCCTGATTTGACCATCATAATTTTAACTGGAAGGTCAAATTTTGATAAAATCATGGGGATTTGGATTTGAAGTTGGCAAAACTTAGTTCATACTGATCAAAATGACCCTCAATATTCCATGGCTAGTGGAACCTCTGTAATAAATTATATGTGTATTACATGTTTTCTAATTCTGAAAGTGAAAATTCATCATTTCAAAGAAACAAAATTTCAAATCTACAGTAAACAAAAGAGGTGATCCGAGCACTAGGTCACTGTGCCAGTGTGGGTGGAGCTTTGGCTTGCCCAGCTTTAGACTACATGTGTATATTTAAAAAGAAATAAGAAAAAAAAACAACTAAAGAATATATAGAATTCTATACCTATCAATGAAATTTTCAGTATCAGTTTTAGTTGGGTGCCGCCATTTTCAATGTAACTCAGTTGTAATAGGTGGGGTATTCCAGTGATGGAACAAGTGCTGATTTTCAGATTAATAGCGCTTTCGAAGAGCTGACCCGAAGAGCCTGCTCGCAAAGCAAGCTTTATGGTAACGCGAGTACCTGATAGATAGTGATGGTTTTGAAAACTTTCATCGGAAGTACTGAATTGACACATCGCAATTTTTCTAATTACAAGATAACAATAAAAGCCGAGGTATTCTGACTGAAAACATCAGTGTAGATTGGTGTCCTTCGCACTTTTATAGGAATCATAATAGGACAGGGAACCAGAATAAACAGAAGCAGTGTATAAAATAACAAATGACAGTTTTAAAAACGGAAAATGTGAAATAAAAATGACGATTATTTTATACTATTTCACAGTAAAAGTAAATCGAGCTCGCTTTGAGGCTTTGCCGTTTTCATATTAATGCAATACATCATAATACAATAATCAAACGGAAGCGTCCATGCATGAACGTAGGACACCTTTAAAACAGAAAAAATGAACAATTTTTTTAACCGACTTCACGTTCATAGGCTTTGCCTAATTTCATATTATTTTTATCTGTTAATTATCTAGCCACATGATTTTCTACAAAAAAAGCTACATGATGACACAGACACTTGGAGTATGGACCCCGCCCTACTCCGCCCCTGAATATTAAAAACTAAAAGTATTGTTTATTACAAGAATTAGTTTTAAATTTGTGCTTATATTAGTATGAGACGGTTAAGTGTCTAACACGTGAACAAGTTTGAATATAATTTCTTAACGTTTTAAAAAAGTCAATTTTTTACCAACGCTTCAATTTCCTGAAGAGACCAAGCTTCGAAATGTAAACACAACTGACCTACATATATTTCAGGTATTTATGTTATCGCATGCCATTTATTCTGGTATAAATCAGTCGATGCATATATTCCTTTAATAAATAAATGCATGTTATAATCAGATTGTAACTTTCTTCCAAGCTTTGCACATTCAATTATATTTTCCTAACCGTGTCACATGCTTCTTTACGAATTCATGACGACTTGAATGTTTCCCGTAAATTACAGCGGGAAAATCGCTGGGAAAAAGAAATTCAATCGCAATTACTCGGCCCTTTCGGTCAGTCTTCTTGATTTGATTTCTTTACTGATTAGGGGAAGTAACCGCTGCGGGGTTTTGGTTCTCGGCATGGAAATGAAAGCACAAAACAGTGCCAAAACTCATTCCAGTCGCCTCACATCAAAGGAAACCGTATGTTGTTATCTTTATGAAATTATGGTATTTTAGGGACTTTTTTAAAAGCGGTTA